CCTGCGATCCGCCACTAGCCTGCACAAAATGCCTCATCTCCCGACCCGGCCGCTGGACTAACCGGAAGTGATGTTACTAATGTGACGTCACTTCCGCCTATCAACCTTCAGAGCAGCGTCGCTGATGGGGCCCAAGCTTGTCTCGAAGCCACTGGAGTGGCACTGCTGGGGCCCCGTGCTGCTATGTAACGCTCCCGGGCGGGCCCCGGAGGCTGCCCCGGGCCCCTTATATGAGTATCGGCCATACCCCCCTGTGTATGAGTATCGGCCATACCTGTGTATCACTGGACCAAACTGTAAGCAGCAGAGTAACACATGACCATAGAAACATGGTCATGTAAGTATGCACAGTATGCAAGTCACTACACATCCTTCACGACACACTGAATCAGTTTCCAGGTGGCTGGGAAGAATGCAGGACGGGCCACATGTACCCTCCTCCCCTCACTGACCTCACCCTCTGGAACCATTAGTACCCCACAAGCACCCCAGAACAAATGCAACACCCAAAGCTATGCACTGACATGCTATTTTGCAGCTCGTATGCCTGGAAGACAACAGTCACACTGAGCCAAAGCTGCAGCCTCAGCTCTTTAGGCCGTGAGGTGGCTGACCCCATGCCATCTTCACCCAGGCAAGGTTGTATATGACAATACCACTAACCTGCTGGCAGCCCTTCACCAGGTTAACCAGTTGACATCCGCGGTGTTAAACCCCCTTCCCATCCAGGCCATTTTTATTAACCACCTTAGTACTGAAGCAATTTTTCATTTTTGACACACATTTTAAAATCTGAATTTCTGGATAGAAAATTACTTCAAACCCCCAAACCCTTATATATTTTCTAAAAGCAGAGGCCATGTAAAATAAAAAAGATGTATTTTCATTGGTTTATGTTGCATGATATTTGCACAAATGTTTATTAAAAAAATACACTAAAATGAATTTTAGCGCCCACAAATACAATATAATATCCAATTTTTCTTGAAAATATAAGAGGTGGGGTCAGGTTGAGTAAATAGATACCAAACATGTCAAGCCCTAAAATTGCACACGTTACTGGAATGGTGAAAAACAGATGTTACTCAAAATGGTCTATAGGTGACACTTAAAGTCTTAGAGTTAACCCTGAATTATGGCCATATAATTATTGCTCTCACTCGTGGCAATACCGCATATGTGTGGCAAAATTGCTGTTTACATAAACATGCACCCACAGTGTGTATTAGTGCATTGCAGGTCCATTCAAATCAAATGGTATAACAGTACGTTATGGCAACACATGGCAAAACATAAATTTTTTTACACCTTAACGCAAAGCACAGGTGTAAATAGGCTCTTAGTGTAAACCTCTATGTTGCTTGATAATTACTTAGGCACAGGCATTGAACCTTTACGTGGCCCAGGAGCTCTTTTTTCTGTATTATGCCTATGTTTTGCTATAAAGTGTGTTTATAGTATGCTTCACGTTTCCTTTTTTCACTATTTTCTTTTTTTCTTATATGAATAATAATGTTTTGTGTACAGTGCTATAAATTCTAAAAAGCCGAGTCCCATTTGACTCCTTTATAATGGGTAAAGTAAAGCTGTAATGCAGTGTGAATGCTATAAATATTTTCTTCCTATAAACCAGGTGTTGTAGCCCTCTTCAGTGACTGATATGCACATTTGACCTCTGTGATGATGAAATTGTGCAGCACTCAATAAATCAAAGTTAGAGGACATCTGAACATATTTGTAGAGTTGAGTTACTTGCTGAATGGGAATGTATGTACATACTGTAAAATAATTAAAGATTTCCACTGGAATTCACTAAAACCAAAGAAATAACAATTGGCCTAAGAAAAAAGATTTAAAAAAACAAAAACGTGGCTTAAGTTACAGAATCTTAAGATATGACCATACTCCCTGCAAAAAAAGAGAGAAACTTTGAGGTCAATATGGTGGCAGTTTACTGATGAGCAAAGGCTGAAATAATAGCACTGCATAGCAATGGATTGGAGTACATGTTTAATTCTTTAACTGGTATTTCGTTAAAAGAATATTTTGAATATATCCTTGGTCGTTTTTGGTGTAGGAACACCAGAATAAATTGTTTCAGATATAAACCTTTGCCACTAATAAACTATATATATTTTTTCAACTTCTTTACATGGGGCATGAAGGCTGATATAGCACTGCACTAATTATGCCCTAACTAACTACTAACTCTGAACTCCAAAATAAATCCCCAACGCCAACCATGACCGACAACACATTCAGCAATATTAATACAGAGAAAAAAGTTAAATAACAGTGAAGATTCAAGCCCTTCCTGGCTCTTTCTCAAACAAGAAGCAATTTTTTTTTTTTTTTGACTTGAGAATCAGTAGGGACTGGAAACACAGGTGGTATGGAGCTTCTTTCTCTGCTTTTTTGATTTTAGTTAAGTTTAAATAAAAGAGCTGTTTTTATGATTACCAGTCCTGAGTGAGAATTACAAGAAAATCTTTACATAGGCCGTTTCTTTTTTTCAAGATTGCCAGATGATCAGTCACCCTAGCACAAAGCATTCCGTAAGGTGTGCACCTCTATTCTAAAAGTGTTATCTTTCCTTATGACACGAGGAAACTTAGAACAGTGTTTTTAAATTATGGCAAAAATATACTGTTTTTTGGCAATGGCAAAAAGTACTGTTTTTGGCAAAAAGTACTGTTTTTGGCAAAAAGTATTGTTTTTTGTGAAGTAGGATTTATTATGGTGTGTTCACTTTAAATTCATACTATTCTAGATCTAAGGAAGTCTTTATGCAGGCATGAATGGACATCAGTAGCTGCCTGTGCACCTCCATGCATCTATATGACCAATGATGGTTACTGCAAAGCACAGCGCATGTTAGCACCAGTCTGCACACCTGTGGAATACTGTGCCAAGAGATGCACTCAGTGTCCTTGCTGCTAAAAGGATCTTGGCTTGGGCGCTCCCTCATCTTTTTTAAACTCCTGATGGATCAAGCCCTCCCATAGCTAACACATTCAGATTTTACCTTCTAGCCGCCTGTGCCTTCATCTGGCTGATGGCTAGGTCCTAACCAGAAAATTGTATGCTTCAAATTCTTTGGTAACACTGCTCCCTAAATCTAATAATTCCCCAAGTGGGGAATCTGTCTGAAGTTAATCGGTTATTCTGAGGACGCTCACAGTAATTATGAGGATAACTGTGCATTTATTAATGTGAACACAACAAATATGGTCACAAAAGTGAAAACAACAGTAAACTGGAATTGCTATATTGTAAGACAAGCAAGTTGTCACACATTAACATAGGTAACATTACTATTTTACTCATGTCTTAAAAGTCATATGGTGAGACAGATGGTTTGTGAGTATGCAATAATGAACTTAAAAGTTTGGGTGCACTGTAGGTGTATTGTTCTCTGTGAAAGATTTATAACTGTACAGCCTGCAGCAAAATACGGCGAAGTATAACCTATGTGACATTATTCAGTAACAAAAGAAGCCCCAGACTTAATAAATGTTTCAGTGGCTATGACAAACTATTTTATTATAAAACAAAACTGTACACATGTTAGATAATTGTACGTGATATATGTTTTTAAGAATAAATACAAGAACCAGGCAAGTCAGGTAAAAAAGAGCCCAATCAGCACCTATGAGTAAGTACCACGTGCTGAATTAAAGTCATATTAAAGTAAAAATGTTTTTAAGCTATTTAAAATGCTAAATGACTTACATTGAATGCTGCTCCTTGATGTTTAAAAGTCTTAGTTTCCTACAGAATCAGCTGGTTCCCCTAAGCAGTAACTTTGAAATTATGTTTTAGGGAGGCTCCTTTCCCTTGAAGTGTTCTATGGAGCCACCCTTGTGTGTGCTTTTAAGTTGTGTGTGTCTCCACAGACACAGACACAAACACAGACACAGCAAGGCAATCTACTTCTCTGCTCCCCTCTCCTCCCTTCTCCAGGCTAGTAGATGGACAGCTGCTGTAGACTGCGCTCTCCCTTATGATCCTGTACTGGACAGGAAGCTCAGGGAAGCTGACAGAGATGGAAAGAAATATTTTGCTGGGCAATGTATATTTGTTTGATCTGGATTCATTATTGTAAAAAGGTTTGAGAGTTTAATACTACATTAAACTGATAACCAATAAGGCTGGTAACCATTCAGACTAAGTAACCCGACCACGCATTTATTATTCAGTGTCCCCTTCATCAGGCGACCCTGCGTGGCCCCGAAAGCGCTAGTTCTGGTGACATGATGATCCAATAAATGAACACTTTAGACTTCAACATTATTGGTGTGCTGGTGATATCCGTTTATTTTGTGTGTTTGTGGAGACGCACACAGCTTACTAGCACACACAAAGTTGGCTCCATGGGGCCCTGCAAGGGAAAGGAACCACCCTAAAACAGGATTTGAAGGCCAGGGCTCAGGGGACCAGCTGATTCTGCAGGATACTAAAGCTTTTAAACATAAAGAAGCAGCGTCCATTGTACCTGATTTAATCAACATTTGAAATAGCTTAAAAACCTTTTGAATTTAATATCAATTTAAAGACATTTCTATTTCTAGGGATGCACCGATGCTAGTATCGGTATCGGTGCCGATATCGAGTATTTGGGCGAGTACTCATACTCCCCCCAAATGCTCCGATACTAACTTCCGATACCGGAACTTCCGGTCAGAGGGAGATCTCCCACTGACCGGCAGTGCCAAGGAAGCATGGAGTCCTCTTCCTTTACAATCAGGAAGCCGGGTGGTGGGTTATGACCCGCCTCCCGTCTTCCTGATTGGCTAGGAATACGACTTCACTTGTTGCTAGGCAGCCTGGCTCCAATCTGGAAGCCAGGCAGCACGTAATAACCAGCCTCACGGCTTCATGATTGGTCAGAAAGCCAGTCTGCCCAGGAGCAAGTGAAGCCCGCTTCCTAGCCAATCAGGAAGCCGGGAAGCAGGTCATGATGTGCTTCGCAGCTTCTTGATTGGCTAGGAAGCCAGCGTCGCATGTTGGTAGGCAGCTTGGCTTCCTAACCAATCAGGAAGCCAGGTGGCAAATCATGGCTCACGTCCAGGCTTCCTGATTGGTCAGGAAGCCACACTGCCTTGCAACAAGTGAAGCTGGCATCCAAGGCAATCAGGAAGCCGGGAGGTGGGTCATGATGTGCCGCCCAGCTTCCTGATTGGCTAGTAAGCCGGCTTCACTTGTTGATAGACAGCCTGGCTTCCTGACCAATCAGGAAGCCAGACGGCACCTCAAGACCAGTCGCCCTGATTGGCCAGGAAGCCAGGCAGCAAGTCAGGCAGCCTCATCAAGTGAAGCCGGTGTTCTTTTGCTTGAACACCAGCTTCACAGGCAATCAGGAAGCCGGGGCGATGGGTCATGATCCACTGCCTGACTTCCTGATAATCGGGGCACGCAGCACCGGTACTCGGTACTTGGTATTGGCGAGTACTGGGAATAAATATATATCAGTACTCGTACTCGATACCAGAAAAAACAGTATCAGTGCATCCCTATACATTTCAATTAAAAACCATAGTATAAAATCTCATCGACATGTTTAGCTGTGGTATAATTGATCATTCAACTATCAATTGCACCATTTTTTCAGGTTACGGTTGTAAAATCCTACACATGTAGAAAAGCTTGCTGCTTTCAACTTCAGTGCTAATAACATCACCTTTGCCGCACCATCATGCAGCCAGCTCTTGGTTCGCCACATTTGCATAAGTCTGCCATTATTCTGTAGTTCCCCTTCCTAAGGTAAGGGGGCTGTAAGATACCATACATTAGCATCTAGTGCATGTAAACCCTTATAATGAAGTCCTATTATTTGTTTCCTTTTGTTCTGTTAAATATACTGCTTCAAACATTTTTCTTATATCTGCTTGCAAAAAATGCCTGTTGATCCTGCCAAGGTGTCTTGTAAGGTGATAACTTCCTGTACACTCTGCCTGTGCCTACTGTTATTAGTTGGCATTGTTCCGAGCTTTTTCTGTGGACTTCAAAACACCTTTGTCCCAGCTTTTTCTGTGGACTTCAAAACACAAGTGTTGTCATCTTAGGACAGGATCTGGTGGGATCACCAGGTGAAAGTAAGGGAAAGAAGCCTGAATAAAGAACGCTAATGCAACCACCACATTTAAGGACTTGTAAATTGAGATCTATTTAAGTTTTGTTCTTTGGTTTAGATACACTTTAGGTTTACAGGTTAATTTAAATGTAACAGGTTCTCAATAATATTTTTTACCACCTAGGTTTGAACTTTAATATTCTCCTTTAAATGCATTTACTTTTTATCCCATGAGAATATGTTTTATTTCAAAGAAAGTCTCATCACATAATATAAAACATCTGGAAACATTATACTGCTGACAGAGTAGGCACATTAAAAAGAGTGATTCAACAGATGTGTGCAGAATTAATTTCCCTGCAGAATTTTCAATTAGTTGGCTCTTTCTAACATGCTCCCCACATCGGAAGCAGAAAGAGGCAATGGGCTAGCACCTGCTTCTAGCACTGCATTAAAAAATATATATATATATAATAAAAACATGACTTGAAGAAATGGAAAGGTGATTTATCCCTATGTTTAATTTTAACTCAAGAAAGGAGGAACAGTGCCTAAATGTCTTAGCAGCTTTTTATCCTGCTACATAGACTGAAGAGTGATTCTTGTCCAAGCACCACAAACTAATCCTGCACATATATAAAACAGAAGCTAGGTGACACTATATCTGTACTAGGTCATGTTAGCAAATTTTTTAAAGATTAAGCCTTTTGTGACCAGAGATCATTGATGCCTTGATGTCCATTGCAAATTTAGCAGCATCAGCATGCAGGGGTTAATTTGATAATAACTTTACTAGCTTGCATACTTAAATAATTTTTCTGTATTTTTTAGGACATCGATGACATGATTAGGTATATTTTTTTCATATAAAAAACAAACTTTTTTTGACAAATGTGCTTTTTCGATTTTTAAAAGCAATTTAGCTTTATTTTGATTAATGTAATTGTATTTTACAAATTACACTATTAAATAGATGGCACTGTACTGGGGCATAACAATAGCCATAGCGGCCCTGTGGCTGCTATGGGGCCCCAGGGGTGGAAGGGGGCCCCATGAAGGATTGCTGAAGTTGCTGTTGACCCTGTACCCATTATGGCACTTATGGAACAGTTGATATCAGATGTACAGGAAGAGACTATGCGGACAGCTCTCCTGCTACCTGTCATTGATTTAGATTTTAAAGGGTTTGCCATGGGGCACTATTAAAATTTTGCTATGGGGCCCCATGATCTGTAGTTGCGCCCCTGGCACCATAGATTCCACTTAAGCCTGAAGATGGCAGTGTTCTATCAAATAAAATGGTAGATGAAAAAAAAAGTGTCCGTTGAAATTAACAGTCCCATAAACATTAATATATTTGCAGAATCACTGTCAAAAAATGTCCCATAATCTTATCAAAGTGCAAAGAGTGTCCTATACCATAAAGACATCTAAAGATAATCCAAAGTTATTAAAAAATTATCTG